TTTCCGTTCAAATGCCATCACGAACGGAATTTATCGCGCAATTGCAATAATCAATTTCCACATAAAATGCTTACTAAATGTGCTCCATAAATTACCCAGCATATGTCTCATAACAAAGAGACACGCAGTGAAATCGCACTTTAGCGTCTCATAGCTCAAAAACATCAACGATCTTTTCCGTAGGCGAAAAATATTCGGAAACCAATCAATGAATCTGATGAATCTCAATGAGAAAAGCGTCTGAACATTGCAAACAGCCTTACTACTTTACAACTACGATCGATAGTGTTCTTGGTGAGCTTTTCCCTGATAAAGTGCAAATGTTGAAGAAACTTTTAAAGGGCATTCATCCTCTTGAGATAACCCCGAAACGTGCATCTACTTTCAATCAACCTTCCTTCTCTTCGGTGCTAGTGTTATATTTAAACATTTAGAATTTTACTTTTACTATTTCAGTGCAAAATTTGATGACGACCAATTGCACCCATTCCATTGATTTGTGCGTTGTTGTGTCTCGTTTTGAAGCGTCTGTCTGAGTAATTCTCTGCACAGAGAGAACATCAGACAAGAATTATAATAAAAATGCTTTTACGAGATATAGACGACATTTGTTTTCACGTGACTGCTAGACAACGCTATTTTATATCGCAGTAGTATTTTCATATAGCACTGTGCTGCTTGTTTATGATTTTCATGTTAGAGTGCATGAAGAGTACATTCATCTAAGGTATAGCTTTTCCATCGTTTTGGATTCAAAAATGAATCAATTGCTAAATCGATTAAAAGCACGCAAATGCTATAGTTACAAAACCACCCAAATTTGATAGTTACAAATTAAAATCACCCAAATGAAATGATCGAAAAGGTTCACTCATCGTTTTCATTCACCCGGATCAGTGCTTCTCACGCTCTTGCGTTTTGTGCCTCTTGTAACCGTACGGCAGACTGCTATTTACGATCTCTTTCAACAATTTACACGGTCTCACTTCCCTTCCCTGTCCTTCCCGAAAAAAAAGGGAGAAGAAAATCAGGGAACTCGTTAACTGATCAATAAGTCTGCTGCGAAAAATTCGCCAACGATATCAAAACAAACGCTTCCTTTTGATTGCACAGGCGTTTTGAAAACATTTTCTTTTTCAAAAAATTAGACAAGCCAACAAGAAACGAAAAGCATTAAAAATATCAGTCAGCATTAAGTTGTCAAATGCTCAGTTACCACTGAGAACTAATTCGGACCTAAATGAACACCAAAACAAAAACAATACGGAAATATTCATTTACAAAAAGTAATAATCGAATGAGATGTTCACACTCTGATAACGTAACAAACAACGCGTCATATGATCAATTACGTAAGAATTATACAACTTTCGAACATTTTTCAAACGTACAGCAAATAAACTGTGACACTGCCTTCAAGTGAACAACAAAAAATTAACAGAACAAAACCAGCAACAATAATGAATTTAATGAATGCTCCCGTTGGAATACCGAAGTAATGTTTCAGGAAGAAAAATTTAATCGACGCAAGAAAAAAGACCACCTCCGGGCTCCGATTCGCTTGCTTGCAGCACAGATGAGAGAGAGATGGATCAACGTGAACGAATGGAGTGAATGACCAGATATGATTACGGGAAAGAACTTGCATGGTCTGAAGTTCTCTCCAATCTGCCCTATAGGCATTATCTTGCAACATTCGGGTCCCGGAAATTGTTCCAGTGAGGATGGTCACTACCGTCCACCCGAATGGCAAACTCACACTCTCCGTCATAAAATCACACCTATAACAACTTATCGCTAGCAGCCAATTTACCCGTCTTTTGACCGTCCCGGAGGCTGAAACCTTTTTCGGTAAGCGCACATT